ATGGTGTCACCGGAGGATGTCTGTCATTACTGCCTACCGTCGGGGTGGACTCTTTCTTTACTTGACTGCGAGTCACCGGCCTCTCTGTATTCGCATCCCGGACGGAGGAGAAGATCTGCACTTGCGTAATAAGGGAAAATCACATTGTTCGAATAGACCATATCAGTATGGGAAAGTATGCACATGGTCACAACGTGTGTTGGTGATAATACGAGAATTCTGAGGGAAATTTTCCTGTACACTTCTACCCTAAGTAGTGCGTAAATTTTCATAACTAAAAAGTAAAATTCCCGAGCTCAACTGCGATAAACGGAAATATATCCTCACATTGTCAAAGCGACGATCGAAAGCCATTCCAAGAAAGCTGAAAACCCGATTACCTTATCCTTAGAATCGATACTCTGTGCGACGGTCTCATCCACTTCTAACGAGAATAGTTCATCCAATATTGCACCTGAGGGCAGCCACTCCGACCGTAGTCCATAAAACTGTAGGAAGCGAGAGACTTCGAGTAACTCCGTGGTGAGATTTTTTGAGTGATGAATCGCCACCACTGAATTCAGACGAACCAATCAGTGAACAAGGCGACCGAGGGAGCTTCTCTCTCATACATATCTCTCAAAATGATGATAAGGCATATACATTGGGACAACTAATACGATTTTCTTCTTGATTCGAAGCAACTCTGTTACTGACAAATCCAACTCAGCAATCGAATACTTCCTTACGGCTTGGGTTGACATCATATTCCATCCAATGATTACGAACAGCCCGAATGATGTCCTCCTCCTGCATGTCGGAAGACTCTAATAGGCCGAAATAGGTCTGAGGCGCAAATGGGTAAACGTCGCAACACAGGAGCTGAGTATTACAGCGTATCCGATTATTCCCAGAAAGTCCGATTCACAAATCATGTTCCTTATGAAGTCACAACCGTCCAAGGCGAACGTAGGCGCGTCTCCTCGGATGCTCTCGCTGGGTGCGCTTGTTGTCATTGATGGCGAGACAAGATCGAACCTTTCAAAATGCTCCTTCCACGAATCGAACCGACGACCTATGTCACACGAGCGCGCCCGCCAACGATCTGAACACAACTCTCGCTTCCTTTCAGACCCAACGATTTTGATGATACAAATACAATAATTGAAATAATGCCACGACTTAATCCTTGAGCGCATCAATAGACTTCTGACTCTCTCCTCCGCCCCTCTGTTGTCGCTCCGCCTCCATTTCCATGACCACTACTGCAGCCACTGCCTCAGCAGCACGTTCCTCGTCAGTGTACTGAACGTGGCTTGGACCGGGCGGCGAGGGGAAGAATCGTGCTGATGATGACGACGACGACACATTGGTGTTGTCAACATGTGGGATAACCAGCGAACCCTCGTTGATGCCTATCGCTTGCTGCTGCTGCTGCTGCCCTTGTTGCTGTTGGTGTACCCTAGACTCAACCTGACCAAGCATCATATATCACCCTTAGTCATTGATGTTGATCGACTCACCGTGCCTTCTGGTGGTGCCTCCGAAGCGGTGGGAGTCCCCGAAGTATCAACGTTTCCCTCGTCCATCCCGCCATGGGGCATCCTGGTTGCATTCACCTCCATAACTGGTTGATGGGTCCCCGCCAGAGCATCGGCGATGACCAAGTCTTGATGCCGAACACAATACCCCTCATGGAAAGCAGCCCTCATGCATCCCCTCTCTCGGCACATATCATGGCGACGACACCTGCCGATACCAAAATGACCAAAACATCCACTGCGAGGATTTC